GTTTACCTATGCCGCCATCTTGGTCTCCTCCCTAAAATATATTTTTTTAAAAAAATCAGTCAGGCCTGGCTGGTGTGGCTCAGTGGTTGGACATTGACCTATGAACCAGGAGGTCATGGTTAGATTCTCAGTCAGAGCACATGCCTGGGTTGCAGGCTCGATCCCCACTAGGGGGCATACAGGAGGCAGCTGATTAATGATTCTCATTAATGATGTTTCTCTCTCTCTCTCACTTCTTCTCTAACATCAACAAAAAGTGTATTTAAAAAAAAAGAAAACCCTGAAATGTGTCATTTTCCTTTTTAGTAAGGACGGGGATGACAAGAAGAGCCCTGTGATCATTCATCGAGCCATTCTGGGCTCAGTGGAGAGAATGATAGCCATCCTGTCGGAAAACTATGGGGGGAAGTGGTAAGTGACATGGAAAAGGAAATGTGTCTATTATTCCTTAGAAGTCACGTCTGAGAGATCAAACTAACGTGAAAACAAACTGGTGGCTCCTGCCTTGTCATTAGCCAGCATGCACACGGCAGGTAAAAAATTCCCGTTCCCGCTGCCGAGTCAGAAAATGAAGGCCGAGCGACATGAAACTGTCTCATTTGCCTTCTGGGGAACTCAATAGACTTATAGAGTCATGTCCTCACCATTTCAAGCCTTTGAAAGTCGAAATCTGGGAATCACAAGGCCCACACTCCCAGGGGGGTACCCCCTCCTGCCACTGCCATCCCTCCTTCAACCCGTGGTGTTTGCCTCGTGGGGCACCTGACCACTGACTTTGGAGGAAACCCTGGAGCACAAATGGCCCTGAGCAATACGTTGGCACAGACCAAAGAGAACTGCTCCCCAAGCCCAGCCCCGCTTAGGGGCGAAGTGGGGAAGGGAAATGCCCTCAAGTGCGGGGTGTAAAAAAAAATTTTTTTTTAAATTAAAAAAAAATCTCTGAAACCAAATATTTTTTAAAAACTATAGAATGAGAAAGCTCACAAAAAAATCTTTGGTTATTTTTAATCATGTAACAAATGGCCATTCTGAAAATACACATTTTTTCTATTTCTCAGGCCTTTCTGGCTGTCTCCGCGTCAGGTGATGGTCATCCCTGTGGGGCCGACTTGTGACAAGTATGCACTTCAGGTAAAATCAGACGCATTTAACGACAAACCTACTTGTCACCTGCTGTCCAATCTAAGTGCACAGCAAAGTGCAGAACAATCTTGGCATCTAGTGTGTGAAGGTTTTTTACCTGAAACGTATTCATGCCCGAAAATACTGCATTACTAATGCATTCACTGCCAACCCATGTTTTCAGCCATTGGGAGTAATGCCTATGTACTGTATCGGAACTATTTTATTTCTGGATGTTTTTGAGAAATTGCTGTTTTAAAACATCTCATATTTGTTACTCTTTTCCATGTGGCTCTATTAGGACAGAATATTTATATTATCTATTGCTGTGTAACAAATTACCCCAAAATTTAGCAGCTTAAAACAACAAGCACTTCTTTTTTGTTGTTGTTTAATATATTTTTATTGATTTCAGAGAGGAAGGGGAAGGGAGAGAGAGAGAGAGTAACATCAATGACGAGAGAGAATCACTGATAGGCCGCCTCCTGCACGCCTGCTACTGGGGGTCTAGCCCACAACCTGAGCATGTGCCCTTGACCGGAATCAAACCTGGGACCCTTCAGTCCACAGGCCGACGCAATAATAGAGCATTTTCTATTCTTGTAGGTGTCCAGCACATTTTTTGAAGAAGGATTCATGGCCGACGTCGATTTAGATCATAGCTGTACACTCAATAAGAAAATCCGAAACGCACAGCTGGCTCAGTATAATTTTATTTTGGGTAAATTAAAGTTGCATCTGTTCTCCTAAATGCTTGTTTTTTTTGCACTTTAATTCCAGAAGCACTTTAATTCCATACTGAAGAAAAACTCAAGACAACTGTCATGTGACTGCTCACTCAGTCTTTTGTAAATTGTTGATTTACAGTGTTTTTTCCCTTTCTTTTCTACAGTGGTTGGAGAAAAGGAAAAAGCAAACAATGCTGTCAATGTTAGAACAAGGGACAACAGAATTCATGGAGAGATGTCACTCGCTTCTGCCATAGATAAATTGAAGAATCTCAAGAAATCGCGGACACTAAATGCTGAGGAAGAATTCTGAAGTCCTTCCTTGCTCTCCCTTCTGTGTAATCTTGTTTTGACACCCTCCCAAAAAAATGCATTTTTCGTAATTAAAGTTAGTACTTCTGAGAACTTTGGGCCCACTGACGGTTCCTCTGCCGGGGACAGTGGAAGAGGAGGCAATGAATGAGTAGCCGATATGTATGAAGTTTAATTCACTAATGTGTCTGAGAACAAGCTTGGGGAAATTTTTAATTTCCCAAATGCCTTGAGAGACTTATATGGGAAAATGTTATTCATTGAAAAAAAGGGAAATACCAGGAAATGAGGATTATGAAGTGTTATTGCTAAGATTTGTGATTTTCAAAATACAGGTTTTAAATAAAAGTCTGCAAGCTCTTTAGAATATGGCAGAACATCTTATTTTCTAGTAACAGTATGTTCTCATCTGTTTTAACTAACCAACAACCACAAGAGAAGCTAACACTGAACATTGGGTTATTGTATTGTGGAATCTACTGTTTGCCACATGAGCACGCAGGATGCCTGGGGGCCTCTCCCATCCCCAAGGCTGGCCTACAGGGAGGGACCCAGGCTTTGGACCCTCATCTTGCATCCAGGGCTCCTGTCCGGTGCCTGGGGGCCTGGAATCCTGCTGACTTAACGTCCGGCCTCTCCCAGTCTTAGAGGAACATCTGGACGTAACAAGTGTCTTGAACCCATGGCAGCTGCGGAGATGCCAACTGGGTACAGGCTGGGCCAGCCCCAGGATCGCGGGGCCACCTGGCCCACCTGAGAGCCTCAGTCGCTTCCCATACAGTTTGGGACACAGTTTCTTCATCTGCAAACAAGGCAATGGAATGTCATCAAAACTGTCGCACAGTACCTAGACATGGCGGCCTTTGTCTAAATATATCCATCCAGCCACATATGAGTGGTGCCACCTCCCCAACGAGCCCGCCTCTGCTTTGCCATTAGGTGTGCATTTCGGTCCCGGTGACCTTTCCCGGTCTCTAGAGGGGCGAGCGCCTCGTCCTCGGGCATAGGAGGCGCTTGGAAACCAAGGCAACCAGGCAGCGTCTCAGCTGCCAGAGCCACCATGCGCCTGCGCCCTGGATGCCCTTGGGGCGAGGGGGCGGGGCCGAAACGCTCCCGGCTCCTCCCT